TCACCATCATGATTTTGTTAACCATCCATACAGTAAAAAAAGAGGTATGGGGATCGATACCCCACTTCTCCAATTTCATTTTTTTCACAAATCTCAATATTATACTGTAAAAAAACTATCTTCGGTTCACTTTTGCAAACTCCAAAAACTCCCCAAACATGCGCAAAATCCTTCTATACATAAAAGGAAAATTAAAACCACAATCTGTTCTGCAAACTAAGGCGGTGCAATAATAATCACATGCCAAGAGTTGAATGTCACTATCATGATTTTGTTAACCATCCGTACAGTAAAAAAGACCTAAAAAAGAGCAAAATGATAGCCAGAGTCAAAATTACAGCCTTCCAGAAATAAAGTAAAAAAAACTATCCAGTCAATCAATCTCACCAATGCTAAAAAGGACATTGAAATGCAGCTCAGGGAGTTATATGAGCAAGGGAAGATCATGTATCGACAACGCTCGCGTGTGGATTGCCTCAAAGCTAGGGATTCGAATACAAAGTTTTTTCAAAACCGAGCAACTCACGGGAAGAGGAAGAATACTGTAAAAGCCCTAAGACTCGGAGGATGGAACTAGATGCACTGTCAATGATGAAATGCGGGACCTTGCCGCTTCCTTTTTTGAGCGACTATTCACGTCGGATGGCTCGCAAGGGGCCAATGATCTCCTGGATAATATTGCTACGATGGTGGATGCGGGGATGAACGAGAGGCTAACTGCAGCGATTACGAATGATGAAAGTCAGATGGCCCTTTTCCAGATGGGGCCAACTAAGGCTCCGGACCCCGACGGCCTTCCGGCCCTTTTCTATCAGCGCCACTGGGCTCTGGTTAAAGATGACGTGTGTCGGGCGGTCAAGGAGTTCCTGGCGGGGGCAGCCACGCCGGAGTCCTTTAATGACACCGTTATTTTTATGATTCCTAAGATTAGCTCACCGGAGCTTCTCTCCCAGTTTAGGCCCATAAGCCTTTGTAACGTGTTATGCAAGATTGCTACCAAGGTCTTGGCGAATAGGCTCGAGAATATTCTGCTGCTACTTATCTCAGAAGAACAAAGTACTTTTGTGCCGGACCGGCTTATTACTGATAATGTCCTTGTGGCCTATGAATGTGTGCATGCGATTCGTACTAGGAAGCGGAAGAAACCTCTCTGTGCGGTCAAGCTAGATATGATGAAGGCGTACGACAGGGTTGAGTGGAATTTTTTGGAGAAAATGCTGCACAAAGTTGGCTTTGCTGATCAGTGGGTTCAGATGATCATGAGGTGTGTAAAATCTGCCAAATTTTGTGTCAAACTCAATGGAGGCCTTTCTAGGGTTTTCCTTCCCTCTCGGGGCCTTCGGCAGGGTGACCCTCTCTCTCCCTACTTGTTCCTATTTTGTGTGGAGGGTTTTTCTGCTATGCTTCGGAGAGCTCAAGGAGAGGGGATGATCAAGGTTGTTCCTCTTGGGAGCACTGGCCCCCATGTTACACATCTGCTCTTCGCCGATGATAGCATTGTTTTTCTGGAGGGGTCGAGGGAGAACATGCACACTTTGAGAGATCCTGCTGAAATATGAGAGGGCGTCGGGCCAGAAGGTGAATATGCAGAAATCCTCCATCTACTTTGGCAAGGGTTGTGGGGATGAGCTGAAGGATGAGCTTAAAGGTGAGATTGGTATTTCTTCCGAAGCCCTGAGTGAGAGATATCTTGGGCTGCGTACTCAAGTGGGCAGATCCAAAGAAGGTACTTTCAAATTTGTCACACAGAGCTCTAAGGGCAAGGTCACGGGCTGGAAGGGACAAGGCATGTCAAAGAAAGCCCGGGAAGTCCTAGTCAAATCAGGACTCCAAGCCACCCCCACTTTCACCATGAGTTGTTTCCACCTCACAAAGAAAATGTACCGGAATCTGACTTGTATTTCTTCTAAATTCTGGTGGGGTGCGATGAACGGTGAAAAGAAGGTGCATTGGGTCTCGTGGGAGAAGATGTGTGACTCGAAGCGTGCGGGAGGAATGGGTTTCTGTGACCCTGAAATGTTCAACCAAGCTCTCATGGCGAAACAAGCATGGTGAATTTTGACTGCTCCTAACAGCCTGGTGGCAAGGGTTCTAAAGGCTAGGTATTTCAAGGAATGTTCCATCTTGTCAGCTACATGTCCCTCTAATGCGTCTTTCCCCTTTAGAAGTATTCTGTATGGCCGAAACCTCTTGAAAGAAGGTTTGATATGGCGTGTTGGGGATGGCAGTGGCATCAACATCCATCATGATAATTGGATCCCGCGGCAGGGCTCCTTACGACCACTGGGTCAGATATATCTGCCGAGCATAACCAAGGTGGCTAACTTGCTAGATGAGGAGGGTTCGGGTTGGGATATGCACAAGGTTGAGGCCATGTTCACTCCTTCGAATGCTGATGACATCAAGCAAATAGTTGTGGGGCGTGTTGGAGCGGATGACTACTTGGCGTGGAACGGCACCAAGAATGGGGTGTTCAGTGTGAGGTCGGCATACCATTTGGCGGTACTCTGAGGAGGGTGAGGACTGGACGGCCGGCCTCATCTTCTTCGGTTCTGGACCATAAAGGGTATCTTGGCTTGTGGAGCACGAACGCGCCAGGGAAGGCTAAAATTCATGTTTGGAGAATGATCCGGAATGGCCTGGCAGTGAGTCATGAGCTTTATCGACGCCGGATCAAGCCAGGTGTTTTTTGTGCGGCCTGCGGAAGGGAGGAAACGGTTCTTCATAGATTTTGGGTTTGTCGACACTCCTCCCAGTTTTGGCAGATATTGTCTTCAGAGAAGGGTGTCGCGGTGGCAGCACCACCGCTTCCTGTAGACTCCCAAAAGGCACTCTCGAGCTGGCTGCTGAGTTTTTTTGTGGGTGCAACTGAAGATGAGAAACAAGCTATGGTTCATGCGACGTGCGGGCTGTGGCTTGCCCGCAATGAAGCTCGTGATGGCAAGAGGATTGCTCATCCACATGAGGTTGTCGAAGGAGTCCACTCACACCTGGTGGAGTGGCGTAATATTCATGCTATGGAGGCAAAAGCTCCGAAGTCTAGCCATGTGCAGAAATGGGAGGCGCCAGCGCCGGGCTGGGTGAAGGTGAATTCGGACGGTGCCGTCTCTAAGCAAAGGAACTCAGGTGGTGGAGGAGCGGTGCTTCGAGACCATGATGGTGCGTTCAGGGCTGGGGTGTGTCACTTCTTCCCTCACATGGCGGATCATGAAGTTTTTGAAATTCTTGCTTGCCGACGGGGTGTACAGCTTGCTGTAGAGCTTGGAATCCAGCGTGTTCATCTTGAGCTCGATAGCAAGACTGTTGTTCAGATGTTGGTGCAGCCGGAAAGGTGTTTGAGTGCGGTGGGTCCGTGGATTCAAGAGATTAAAGCTTTGCTCAATTCCCGCATGGAGTTTCGCGTCGATTGGGTTCGTCGTTCTGCCAACGTTGCTGCCCATAAGTTTGCTAAAGTAGGTGTGGGTGATGAGTTATGTAAGGTGTGGTTGGGGTCTCCCCCTGACTTTGTTCTTTCTGTAGTCGCTGACGACATTCCCAACTATGCTGGTTAAATAAAACTGCGGCAGCATTGATCCTAAAAAAAATGCTAAAAAGGATTAAAAAAAACTCCCCCCATGCCCAGCCAGAAACTTATGGTGGCATCTACCCTCCTTCCAATAGTGTGTGTCCACACCCACACGCGTTTGTGTCAGAAATGCAAAATAGCTACCCGACTCGACGAAGCTCGAGTTACCGAAAAAAATGCAAAGAACATTTTGAAATCTAAAATAATATCGGGAATTTTGTACGTCAAACATATATATGTGTGAACCATATAAACATTTTTAATGCATATTTTTATTTGTGGGCTACACAGAAAACAAATATGTGGATAATTGGACCTACAATTTGCTATTGTGGGTCCGCTTTTTTGTAGCGCAAAAATGAAGGTATTATTTCATAAAATTAAATAATCGGGCACTTCTCCAGTTTCAGTTTTTTTTTACGAATCTCAATATTATACAGTAAAAAAACTATCTTGAGTTCACTTTTGCAAACTCCAAAAACTTCCCAAACATGCGTAAATTCATTCTATACATAAAAGGAAAATTAAAACCACAATCTGTTCTGCAAACTAAGGCGGTGCAATAATAATCACATGCCAAGAGTTGAATGTCACCATCATGATTTTGTTAACCATCCGTATAGTAAAAAAGACCTAAAAAAAGAGCAAACTGATAGCCAGAGTCAAAATTACAGCCTTCCAGAAATAAAGTAAAAAAAAAACTCATCTGTTGTGCCCTACACCCAACCAAATTTATCCAGTCAATCAATCTCACCAATTCTAAAAAGGATTTAAAAAAACTCCCCCCACGCCCAGCCAGAAACTTACGGTGGCATCTACCCTCCTTCCAACAGTGTGTGTCCACATCCACACGCGTTTGTGTCAGAAATGCAAAATAGCTACCCGACTCGACGAAGCTCGAGTTACCGAAAAAAATGTAAAAAACATTTTGAAACCTAAAATAATATTGGGAATTTTGTACGTCAAACATATATATGTGTGAACCATATAAACATTTTTAATGCATTTTTTTATTTGTGGGCTGCACAGAAAACAAATATGTGGATAATTGGACCTACAATTTGCTATGTGGATCCTTTTTTTGTAGCGCAAAAATGAAGGTATTCTTTCATAAAATTAATAATATAACTCACGTAAAAGATGCATATGTGTTAAAAAAAGAATATAGGTGTGTGCGCGTGTGTGTTAAATATGCATTCATTTTGAATTATTATTTTTTTGAGAAAGCATTCATTTTGAATTTCCCCTAAAAACAGACGACCTCTCCATCGTGGGCTTTCCAATGTCCAGCCCAGTTTTGGGCTCTTCGTTGTCACTCTCACGGCCTGCATTCACTGGCTCGATCGCGTCTACTGCATCTACATCGAGCCTAACCCACGTCCCACACCGCATTCTTCTGAAAAGAAAAGAAAAACATCCCACATCGTAGGGCGAGATGAGCAGCCTCCGCCGTCGCCGCCCTTCGCCGGCGGCGGTGCCGCCGCTGGAGGACGACAACCTCCTCTCCGAGATCCTCCTCCGCCTCCCCCCACAGCCGTCCACCCTCCCCCGCGCATCCCTCGTCTGCAAGCGCTGGCGCGGCCTCGTCTCCGATCCAGGCTTCTGCCGCCGATTCCGCCGCCGCCACCGCCGCCACCCTCCCCTCCTCGGTTTCTTCCAAGTAGACGACGGGCTCTCCTTCGTGCCTTCCCTCAAGGCCCCGGATCGTATCTCGCCCGAGCGCTTCTCCTTGCAACACGAAGATTTGGTCGACCGCTTCTTCTCCCTTGGATGCCGACATGGCCTGGCACTCATCTACCTTCGCAAGCGTCTCCAGCTCCTTGTGTGGGACCCCGTCACCGGCGACCAGCACCACATTGCCGTCCCCCCGGGGTTCGACACGGATACATCCCCAATCAGCGGCGCGGTGTTTCGCTCTGCCGGGGACGTCCAACACTTCCATCTGGCTTTGGTAGGGAGCAGTGATGGACAAATTACGCAAGCAGTCGCCCGTGTTTACTCGTCGGAAACCGGTGTATGGGGCGATCTTATCACAACACCGCTTCAATTCGAGGATGCTGCCCATTTTCGCATCGCAGTTTCTACAATCAAGCCTGCTGTGCTGGTTGGGGGTTCTCTTTACTGGTTGCTTGATGGGAGCTCGGGCGGGATCCTTGAATTTGATATGGATCAGCAAAGACTAGCTGTCATACCTATGCCAGTAAATGGCCTCAGATTTGTCCACTTCTCGATGATACGGGCAGATGGCGGTGGATTTGGTCTCCTCGTTTTATCAGGCTTCAGTGCCCAATTCTGGAAGAGAAGGACCAATTGCGATGGTGTTGCTTCATGGGTGTTGGGAAGAACCATTGAAATTGACAAGCTACTTCAATGCGAACCAGAGTTGAATGGGAGCCAATTAATACTAGGTTTTGCTGAGGACAATAATGTGGTTCTTTTCTGGACAATTGATGGCCTTGTCATGTTACAGCTTGAGTCACTACAGTCTGAGAAAGTCTTGGGAACCAAAATCATGGCTCACTATCACTCATTCGAAAGTGTTTATACTACAGGTAATATCATGTTTTACATCATGGGTATAATAAAACCAAGTTAATTGTTGATAATTGTTTGAAGTAATACTGTGCACACACTTTCGTGTTAAGCTATCAATTTAGTAGTGCTATATCAGTTTTTTAATTGCGACTTGACGAACTAGATTTTCAAAAGTGATGTGATTTGTGATATTTTGTGTCATTTAGTTGATCTAAAGAGGGTCAGAGAATACCCTAAAGGATACCCATTTGCACCTCTACTGAGGAGCTAATAGTCCTAGTGTGCATCTTTCATTTTTACGATAATCAGATCCGGTTTCATTTATCTTTCCCTGGCGTTGTCTCCAAATTGATTTTTTTTTTCAAACTACAGCTGTGAGTTTTATCTAAGTATCTTGATGCCTCCTCATGTCTGTTTGGCTTTTTGTTGGAATGTCCTTGGTTGTTTGACTTTGTATGCTTGCAGAAAGAGGAATTGGTGGTCCTGAAGCTGTTCTTTTGCACAACACCTGAGATTGTTGTCCAATTAGATATGCTATTGTGATTTACTGGTTACGCAGGTAAGCTTACCTTCTGCAAGCAGGTTGGGGCACTTGAACTCTTCTTAAACAAAATGTATGGCTTTCCTTTTTACTGCCACTCCTCAAGTACAAGAGAGGACCCAGAAATGTATGGCTTTCCTTTTTACTGCCACTCCTCAAGTACAAGAGAGGACCCAGATTTTCTCTACAACACTTTGCTTAGATGTTGCCCACCTGGCAGTGGTGGAGCTTGAACGAAATATGAGGGGCGAAGTTAAGCAGTGGTAGGCACAATATTTGGAGAATGTTTTTTCAAATTCTGGAGAAATAGACCATACAAAACAAAATTACCCTTCCATGAAGAAAAACACGATTTAGATTACCAAAATTGTAAATATACATTATTCTTGGCAACTTTAAATATCTCAAATAATTTGGACAAATGAAAACGTAATGAAATTTAAATTGCAAATTGCTAGACGATTGATTTGTATAGTCTAGTCTCTTAATTGCAGCAAAATATAATGTTTGCACTAGTGGAAGTGTATTTATTAAGTTAACAAGGAAGGGATGCATCAGGCACGACAATGGCTCTGACTGAGCGGAACTGATTCTCACTTGTTACTTTGTTAGGAATATGAACGAAATAGATCCCATACTGCCTTTTTCTCGCTAATCCCAGGCATGTCCAAGGATGTGCTAGAACTTATTTTGAGTGGACCGGTGGTGCAAGTGAAGCTGAACGCCAGGGTCTGACACTCTTGGAGATGGTCCAGTGGCTGGCCACCTGTCACGCTTTCATGGCACACTGCATATTTGACAGTCTTTTCTCGACACCCTGCTTCCTCATCCCTTCATTAGCAGCTCTCCATTCTCTTCCTCATGCCTTCACCCATCTACCTTCTCTTCTATTTGCTGATATTCTGCCCCCTCTCTATTGGATGTGCTCTTTCAGTTGCCTTCCCTGTCCATCCAGCCGCCTCACTTTCAGCTAGCTCCTCCCTGTTACTCTCCCAGTTCCTTCTGTTAGTGCAGGTTCTTCTCCCTCTACTCCTCTGATGGCTGATGACTTAGGACCCTTCCCCTTTTCTGCATATGTTTGTGTCTGCTCATAGATGATAATGATGTCACATTAGTGGTAGCATAACTAAATACATCATCTTTCATGTGCTTCATGGATGCTCTTTTGTTTTACTTCTACCATTTCTACATTGCATTTGATCATTTTGTATGGTTAAGGATATATCAAGTCCTAGTGTAATTTGTATGCTGTTCCCTCTCATTTCCTTTATACTTTCTTTAATTGTACGGGCTTATAGCTATGCCATTTGCACATTTTACACTGTTGATATTTGGGGTCATTATGGTACCTAGTGAAATAATGACTATTAGAATATTTGTTCTAGTGTTAGCCTGTTTGCTTAAATATTTTCTCAGCATATCTCGCAATGTTTGTCTAACTGGAATATGTATGGGCGGCCTATTTTCTCAATGTTTGGTCATATTCGATGATCAATACTTCATATTAAACACATGATCAAAATGGCTGGATTCACCATAAATACTGCTTTAATCTTGAATTGCATTTTTAATTAACATTTATCATTGTACGTGGTGGCCAAAGTACTGTTTTGATGCTGTACGGATTAAAATAGAATGTCATAAATTGAAGGAAGTGTATCTATTAATAAGACGATCCATGATCCCTTAATTGATGCTTCGACTGAATCAATCTAACTAAGTTTGATTTGTTAGCAACTAGCTAGGTAAACCAAATGTTTCTCCTTTCCTATTCCATGAGCCCCTCATATGCCCATCATAACAAAAAATATTTTAAATGATTTGATGAGCTAGGATCTTCGGAATTGGCCTCCTATGGAGTTCTTAAAGCCACTAATCTTTTAGCCTCTACTAACATCAAATGTAGCCAAAAAACTTGACGTTGGCGATGGAATTTCTAGGCGTGCCACTATTTTGCAAATCACCTATTGCTTCTCTTTGTTCGTATTGCTGGCATTGTGTTAATGCTGAGAGGATCCAAATTTGGAGATTTTGGTAGAAGTCCACAACACTAGTGTAGCGACGGTTACTGTTTGAGTCGTACGAAAATTGGGCGATATAACTTTAATAGATTTTGCATGAATGACTTGTACAGATTGGCTTGACTGATGAAATTGATTGCTCTGTAGGTGTCTGGAATTACAGTCCGGTGGCAGATGCAGAAATGGCTTTTTTGCTGTAGGTTCTTCCATTTTATATGCTGTGTTGGTGCTGGTATTAGTCATTGGTCAACTGGCATGAAGACACGATGGCTCGTTTGTGTTGGCGCTGTCAGTTATCTCGTTTGCAAGCGTTTGAGGCAAGCTAAAGTCTTTTGTCCCGTGTTGTGTCTGGTCGAGATTGCAACTTCTAATCTCTACTTAAACTTTTGTCTTCTTTTTTTTTGCGTGTGTGCGTGCGTGCTCACAGGTTCATACTATTAGATATAAATTTGTGCGTCGAAAAGATAGCAATGCTGCGGTGATGGTATTATGAGTTGAATTTGTACCACAGTTGTCAGGATCTCATTACTCTTGGAGAATATAAGATTGCACCCCATTGTGTTGTTACCAAAGTGCCCAGGATCTGAACTGTGTAGAATTTGCTGTCTGTGGCTCAGGATGCATAAAGTTTCTGTTCTGTTTCTACATGAGTTATTTCGCTGGAATTACGTTCAGAAGGTTCTAATGATACATCTCCAGCTCTAAATAATCCCTCAACTGTGAAGCTGCTGCATGTGTTGATGCAGAGAAACAAAACCGAATGCCTTTTGCAACAACAAAAAAGAGGAAGAAAGAAAACCAAACCGAATGCAAACAGTGATGCCTGTTATTGCACGTTTAATCATCTATGTTTAATCTGCCCTCCTAGCATCTGTTTCTACTTTCTTTAGGTGAATCCAAAATAACATGTGTTTCTGGCTTAGTTTAGTTTGCATCTACGTACGTTTGAAAGCTTAAATTGCCTTCAAGAATACTTTGAGCTACGAAGGTCAAGCTATAATTTGCCATGTTTATCTGCAAGACTTCTGAAGCATCTTGCAGTTTGTGGTTTCAACTATTCCTTGTCCAATCTAGCACCACCATTTCTTGGCTTCACATGGAGGTGGAGGATTATAGGAATCGTCAGGCGTGATTTCTTCAAAGAATCAGTTCCCTGCATCTTGACTGGAACATGATTGCCTGAAATGAGAACAAAGAGCAAGGAGAATTTTCAGATGATAGAAGACAGAAATTTCATACAAATGGAACTTAATAAGTACTACTAGCAAATGCTCAGTAGCAAAAGCAGGCGGCAAGCATTCACAAGACCAATTGCAGACAGCCATAGACATATAGAACAGTAGAATTACTAAGATTCAAATGGATGCATCTTTAGTACTAGTATTTCCCACAGAAATCAGAGATACAATGCCCACCCTTTTGCTCGACGAATCTGAGGAAAGGGTCACTAGAGACTACCAGGCACTACATACAGATCTGCCAACCAAACGACTGCTACTCATCTTGTCCATGAGAAATGGAACAGAGCAGCAACACTGGCTAGGCTATGGGGACGGGGACGGCTACTCCTTGGTGGCTGCGGTCTTCTTCTTGGGGGACTTGGTGGCGGCCTTCTTCTTGGGCGACTTAGCCTCCTTCTCGGCGGCGGTGGGGGACTTCTTGGGGAGCAGCACGGAGTTGATGTTGGGGATGACGCCGCCGTGGGCGATGGTGACGCCGGCGAGCAGCCTGCCGAGCTCCTGGTCGTTGCGGACGGCGAGCAGCAGGTGGCGCGGGATGATGCGCGTCTTCTTGTTGTCCTTGGCCGCGTTGCCGGCCAGCTCCAGGACCTGCGATTCATTTCAACCAAGAACGGAATTGGTTATATGTCCAACGCAAGAGGAACAGAGCAGCAGAACAGAGGCTCGAGGGCGGCGAGCGAAGATCTGCGGCTACCTCGGCGGCGAGGTACTCGAGGACGGCGGCGAGGTAGACGGGGGCGCCGGAGCCGACGCGCTGGGCGTAGCGGCCCTTCTTGAGGTAGCGCCCGATGCGGCCCACGGGGAACTGGAGCCCCGCCTTCACGGACCGGGTCACCGCCTTCTTCCTCTCGCCGCCCTTCCTTCCGGCCATCTTCTTCTTGCTGCTTCTCCGGCGACGGGGTGTCCCTCTCGAGGTGTGGAGCTGGCGGCGGTGGTGCTGGATTGGAGGAATGCTCTGGGTTTGGTGGGTTGGGACAGCGGCGAGGGGCGCGGCTTTTATTGGAGACGGAGCTTCGCTGGAGGGGGGGAGCGATCCGCGTGACGCGGTGCGCCCGCCGTTGGATCTGAGGGGAGATCGGCGGGCAGGGGGGTGATCCGTGGGAGGCCCAGATGGACCAATCAGAGAGCAGAGATTTGCATCGTCCAGGATACTACTTGGAATTCAAAATGAGTTCAAAACCAAATTCAGCCTATGTTTTAAAAAGTGGCTTGAATTATTATTGTTGTTGGTAAATGACTTGAGTTCTGATTTTGCTGGTTCGTTGAAGATAGAATTGCTAGTTGGAATGAGGTGGGTGTCTATACATTTTTCTATCTGAGTGCTGCTATAAATATAATAAACTTAGAGCATCTACAGCGGGACTTTGCAAATCTGACCCCTCAAACGTTCTGGTGCATCCGTGGGTATTGACCTGACACGCCTTAAATTAGTCACTTTGCATCCGCTTCTCTCATATTTCATTTCCTAAATCCATACAAAGCATGCAAAAGGAATCATACGTAATACCCTAGCTACTCTTCGTCATCGGAGATGTTCACGACGATGGGGTCGGGCGCTGCCTGGACGGGCTGGCGGGTAGGAGGGCTTTGGCTCATCCTCCCCTTGCTCGATCTCATCCATGTAGGCGAACTTCTCCGCCTCATCCGCGGCCTCTTGCGCCTCCATCTCTTGTCGGCGACGGCGTCTTGCCCCCACAGCCGACTCCGAC